TGGTGTGTAGCCTCACTCTGTGGTGGCTGCCCCTTACTATTCTAGAACCTTTGCTGAGCTTTAACTGTTCGGAGCACTAAGTGAGAAGATGATCCTGTCTGAGTCCTATCTCAAGGGAAGAAATGCAGACTCATGCTAACCCAAATAGACTAGGTGAGGGAATAGACTGAGCAGTATTGGTGTTGACGGTGAATAAAAAGCTCTCAGGTATGTAATTTCTTCAGTGGCTTTTTTGGCAATTTTGTGGGATCTTGTTTACTAAGGCCTGGTCAAGAAGAGAAGATTGACAGATAGCTACCTGTCAAGCAGTAGTTGGGAAGAAATCTAAGTAAACTGTCAAAACAATTTGAAAGAAAGTTTTCATAAACCTTAATAAATTATACCTTGGTTTCATTTTCATTCTTCATCATAACTTTTAGTCTTTCTCTTTTGTTCATGAAAATCCTGAAACATGAGTCAATCATTTTGAAAGTCTAACACTTTTGTATATGACTTGGAAAATTTTATTTCTAGGGACCCAACCAAGTCTTTTTTGACAAGTTTTATTCTATGTGTTCAGGGAAAATTGGCAGACCCAGGAAAAGGCTCACTTGCTACAAGCTGACTTGGGATTATGATAACAGTGGCAAGCTCTATCATTTGCACTATCCATCAGAGATATTATAATTATCCCAGGTATTACTGAAATTTCCATGTAGACAGGAGAAAGCCATATACAGACCATGATTAGAAAGAACTCGTTAAGGAGCACTTGTTTTTCAAGCCATTGCCCTTGCCTAGAATGGCTACTCTGTCCTCTTATGTAAATTCTACTTGGTGCACAAGGCCCATTTACTCAGCATGTATTTATTGAATACCTACTTTGTGTCAGATAATGTTTTAGGCAACGGATAGACAAGGGTAAATTAGACAGACATAATTTTTGCTCTTATGAATCTTATATTGCAAGAAAGATAATAAACAAGAAAACAACTGAATTTCAGATAACAAGAGGAAAATGGTATATGTGGTAGGGAACATGTCTATTTCATCAATCAAGGAAAGCTATGCTGAGGTCACATTTGAACAGAGAGAACTGAAAGAAGATAGTGACACATGTAATCCGAAAAGAATGTTTTGAAATAAACATTTAATACACACATTGTGTAAGTATAATGTGACCCAGGATCCATACTTAAGAACAAGAGTCCATTATCTCTGAGAACCGCCTACTCAAGAAAATCAGAAATCATATATCTTTACAACAAATTGCATTCACTTATTTTTTATCTGGCTACAAACCAGAGCAGTCCTGAGCTACTGTAGTCCTAGGATTCTTACCCAAGAAGCTGTGTGATAAGGTATTCCAGGAGCATTTTATAAATGCAGAGGATTTCTGCTAAATTTGAATTGGCTAAAAAAAAAAAAAAGCCTACCTTCCCTGAATTAATCATAAGATGTAATTCATCGTCCAGACCAGGACACTGTTGAGAACGAAAGGGGCACTATTAATAATTATGTCAACACAACAGGCATGAACTGGAACCATTCCAAGCAAACCAAGACATGAGACAAGTCAGTCAAACTTTGCTTACCACATCCTACCAATATTATATATTTTCATACACTCAATACCATGTTCGTAGTCCAAAACAATCAGTAGGTTTACCATCTATTTCATTTTCTTATTTTGAACAATATTATTTAAAAGAAATAAAAAGCTATATTTTTTGTGTACACGAAGTCAATCCAAAATGGGGATGCAGCTGTGAAGTACTGGAAAAGAACACCAGCTAAGGGACTGGAGGTCTGCATCCAAATCCCAGAACGTTACTGTGTAGCTATGACCTCAGTCAAAGTATTTCCCTCTTACTTGAGCCTCAGTTTTATCATCTGTAAAATAAGGATAGTATCCACTTCTGAGTTTTCAGTGGATCAAATGAAGTAACAAACACATGTGAAGGTGTCCTGTAAAAGCTGGAAAATGTTACACACGCACAATAAGATGGAAAACGTCACAGGGTGTATCTTCTAACAGCAGCTGCAGTGATATTACTAGGTGTTTACAGGTGTTTTTGATGTAAATATTGCAGCTTCTGGGCAGGATGGTATTCTGGATCCCCATACTCAGAGGAATGAACAGTGATGATTGTTTACAGTAGAAAGATTACTACAGTTGTTTTTATTATTAAATTATACCTCAAAAAGAAAAAAAAAACATTACCTTCAGCATCGACAGAACTGAACATGAGTTTCAAGTGCATGGTACACTACATACTACTACATATATACTACATATGTCAGGTATTGTATTAAGTCCTCTGGCCCCATCCTTAAAGTCAAGAATAGCAGGTCAGCACTAATACAATCTTGCAGCCTGAGTATGTGGAGAAAGCCTGTGCCTGAATGTCAGGTTGCTCAGGAATTAGGACTGCCTCAGGCACCACTTAGCCACACACCTTGGGCAAGATATACCTGTAAATTGAAGGGACAGACTAGAGGGGCATTAAGAACCCTACAGGTTCTGAGGTTCTGTGATTCCAAGACATCCTTAGCATTTTCCAAATCTAGATGTTTTGTAAACTGGCTGCTTCTTAGATATTTTCTTATCCTTTCTCATAACAGAAGAAAAAAATTTAAGCACAATTAAATTGAAACAGAGGTTTAATGTAGTTTCAGGATACATTTAAACTGATATACACAGATAAAATAGGTGTTCAATTAAGACACATTTATTCTTTCCCACATCAAAGTGAAATTTAAGTTTAAACATAAACTAAGAAACATTTGTTTTACAAGGTAATTTGCTATATGACAATGACCTTGAGGTATTAGACAAGAAAACTTTATATTAAAGGCCCTGTAAGTTCTGAATTTTGCAATTCCGATACATTCTTGGCATTTTATGTGTCTAGATGACTGCCTTCAATTTTGGTTATTTCCTTCACATTTTCCAGTATATTCTCATTATAGAAGAAAACATTTAGCACACAATTACAGAAATACCAGTTTTAAATAGTGATTTCAAGTAACTTCAACATACATTTACACTGAAATATACACATAAATAGTTGCCAAGTCAGGAAACACTTATTCACAGTTTCAATTTTATTAATTATGGAAAGAAATATGAACCAAGTAACATTTGTCTTACAAGGTAACTGAATTTTTAAAAGTTTGTAACTAGTGACATGTACAACACTTACAGCATTTACACAATACTTTTCAAAATAGGTTTTTGACTTCTAGGAATGACAGCTCTCAGGGACAAACTTTAGATATGCAACTTAGCTCAGTGGCCATCAACTTTGTCACAAAAAGCAACTACACACAAAGAGTCCTCACAACCCCCAGCATCAAAAAGTGAAATTAGAAACTTAAGGCAGAAAAAAAAAAGGCTCTCCAAAGTATAAAAGATTAAGGCCCAGAGAGCAAGTTTACAAATTAACATAAGATCTCAATTATTTAACACAGCAAGTGACTTCATTTGCATATTAATGCCTTTTCTTGTACTTCCTTATTTCTGATTCTGGGAATATTTATGCTGCACCTATTGGGCAAGACACTGGGAGCACAAAGAAGGATCAGATGTGGTCCCAGTGGTGTGCTAGGAAATGTTTAGCAACCGGCTCTTCAAGGGAAGTAAAGCATTTAATTAGAGCATTTACCAATTTCTATGGGGCAAAATGCTCCCACTACAGCTGATTTCAAGCTACCAACAACTTGATAACTGGCTTAAAAAATTCCTGAAACTTGAACAACCATCTCTCACAAGCTATGACAAGCCAGGTCCAACACACCACTGTATGGTCCCCACCCTAAAGTAGCTCATAATGTCTTCATGGGTACATATTTTAGAAAATAGAAAAGAATGGGGAAAATAGAGATAAAACTTAAATAATCATTTTTTTGTAAGCAGTTTTAAAAGTTAAAAGAAACACTATAATCACTGGAATTCTCCTACTTGTTTAATATTCCACTTTTTTTTTCTTGCTTAAATTTATTTCAGGAAGCTGAAATGTAGTATAATGGGGGCAAGTGAAGAATGATTGGAATAAGAAGGAAAAAACACAAGAAAAGACATCCTAAGATATATACTAACAATTATCATGTTTATGCTGAAAGAAAATACCTACGAAGATAAGGGCAATATGATGCAACCTTTAACATTCTCTCTTTATTAAACCCTTTCAGTTCAGTTCACAGTCCTGAAGATTGTCCTGTCCTCTTTGGCTGCAGCTTTGATGAGACTAGCTTGCTTTTTTCGCACAATACTGAAGTGTACTGCTTCACACCACTCACACAGTAAGCTCATAACAAAAGGCAGAACTAAATTAGAGTCTGAAAACTTCCTTCACATAGTCACCCCCTGGATCAGATCTTGGGCAAGTGCCGGCTGGGGTGACCAGGAAATTCTTCTGGTAGCAAAACATGGAGCCTGCAGGTTGGGCATGTCCCCTGCTGCATTAACCAAGGTCTAATGCACTAAGGAGCAAAAAGATTCATGTCAGCCTCTCAAGAGTTAGCCTAGCACAGGCAGCTGTTAACCTACATATCAGGGTTGCCAACCAATATGTCTATCAGTGAGTCTTAAAGCCTTACCTGTTGGACTGCCAAGCCAACTGCTGCAGTCACAGCACCTTCACTATGTATGGCTTGCTGAGTGATACAGCTGGTAACAGCACAATACCTTTCTGCTAGTTTGTTCTCCTAGAATCCTTTCCCTAAACCCAATTTTTAGGATGACTAGCTTCCTTGTTAGGAAGCTAACAAGGAGGTTGAGGAAACCTGCTATATTTTTCCTCTAGTTTATTTTATTACATATTGTTCTCATGTATAATCCAGAAAGTCATAACTAAACATACAAAAGTCACCAAGACCTTGTATCAAGTACTATGGTGCTCTGAAGTTAAAACCCATAGATGGTGGATATACTTTTCATATTGCTTTTCCTTCGGTGACAATGGTAGTACTCTTTGGATGTGAACTATGTGTTAAGTCATTTGCTTGAATACTGGCTCTCCAAAAACAAATCATTTTTACCTGTATGAATAACAGAGAGCAAGATTAAGGAAGAGAGAATTAACAATAGGCACTATATATGAAGCCTATTAATTCTAACCCTAAAAAGTGAACTGAATGAATTACCTGCTCTCTATTCAATGGGTAATGGCAAAGAATAAAATACATTTTGTGAAATATTTATTTTCTAAATGGATTAGACTTTCAAAACTTCAAATGGGAAAGTAAGGTGGCTAAGTATCTATCCTGGAGATCTTTTGGGACTGGCTATTCTGTGCAGATACAAAATATAATTCTGTAGCATCTAACACATATATTTGAAATAATGTTTTACAGATATGGCTTGAATGAGCTGGTTATTTTTCACTGCCCTGAAAAGCTTTTCTTGTGTAAGATTATCTTTTCCTGTGTCAGATTACATCTCTGCAACAGAAGACTTGGATAAATTATATATCAAAAGCACCTGCACAGCAGCAATACTAGGAGTTAATCTATACAAATGCCAAGAATCAACAAAAGATATGCCAGCCTCACATTTTTCTAACATCAAAACTCAAGCCTGAGCATCTTCAAAAGCAACTATGGGAGCCAGGACAGACTACTGTTAGTCTAATTCCTTATAATGGTAGGGGGCCATCATGAGGTGTGGACAGAAGACACTGTGTTATTTGTAGCACATCAAGGTGCAGTGGCACTGTTGCTAAACTGACAATGAACTGCCATGTCAATCACTATTTCTCCCAGGTATATTCAGGGAAACTGCCTACTCTCTACCATTTAAATGCCACTGTTGTGCCCTTCTCCTGAAATGTGTATGGAGATCTGAAAAAGTACAATGCGATCCATGGCTAGGTATGGGGAGACAGGTATAAAGATTTCTGTGTGGTACCCAGAAGCCCAGCATTATAAGGAACTCATGGCACAGCAGTGGAAAATGATACATGCATATATGATTTCAAGTAAGGCAGTATGAATCTTGCTTAGTGGATTAATGATAAAATGTTAAAAAGATAAGTTTACCTGAGAATGGAATTTGTGAGCACAAGGCAAAACTGAGAGGTTTTCTGGAGAGAGATTCTCATGACAGATCACACAAGGCTCCTCTTCCTCCTCATCCTAGGAAAACACATGTAAGGTGTATTCAATTCATGACTTTCTCCCAAGTTTAAATTTATTTAGAATCAATAGTCTCTCTCACCAAATTATTGGCTCCTTCCCATGTGGCAGAACTTTGTGAACTGAGGGGGCTCCAGGCTGGTTTTGGGGGTGGGGCAGCACTGGACTGTGGTGGAGTGTGGCTGGGTGAAACACAGCTACCATTTGGCGCTGGTTTTCCTTGACTCTGAAAATAAGAATATTGCACTTATTTTTTTAGAATTGTCCTAAAACAGGGAGAACTGACAGAATAGCACAGAATGTGATACAGTGAAAATTAGCAGAAGGGTGAAGGTCAATCAGATTCATGATAATGTTTCAAACAAAATGTTGGCAATATTACTTATATACTTAGAGCCAGGTAAAGAAAAAGATAACTACATACTCTTAATTAAAACAAGTGTTTGCAGAAAAAATTTTAAAATGTTTTCTTTAGAATCATTGAAAATAACCTTGAGTAAATTTCAAGAGGGTCAGTTCTATTCCAGAATGATCAGGAGGTAAATATTATAAAAAGACTTCTCAGGCCATTTGTCCAGTTGAGGTTGAGTTGTTTATTGTTAATAGGTGATTTAATCCAATTACAGGCTATCTATTTTTCTGAACATGTTATAGAGATAAATAAGACAGCTAACCACTAGAGTTGAAGTCCTGAGGGGGTTCAAGGTTGAAGTCCTGAGGGGGTTCAAGATAGAAACTGGATGAACACAACCTCCACAACAAGACAAAGCATTGAAAAGGGTAAGAGAGATATGGTTCCCCTAAGGAGGGGAAAAAAAAAATCACACTCCAGCTACTATGCTCCACAGTGAGACGGATCTCAAAGGTACAGAACTTTTCCTTGAGGAGTGAGGAATTCCAGTTCCACATTAGGCATCCCAAGCCTTATATCTCCTGCATAGGAAGAGATGAGCCCCCAAAACACCTAGCTTTGAAAACCAACGGGGACTATATCCAGGAAAACTATAGAACTACAGTGAAAGGAAATTCTGCTCCTAAAGGGCTCATGCACAGATTTACTGAAACTGAAAACAAGCTAGAAAACACCAGATGGAAAAGACATAGACCATAGGTGAAGGGGACTCCCTTACTAATCTTGGAATGCTCCCCAGAGAGGCAGGAGGTAGCAGGGACTCTCCCCAAGGTCTGAAACACTGATGGCAGCCATTTCTGTTATCTAGTTCTGTCGTGTTGATGCTGGTACTAGCAGATATCATTTTAGAATTCCCCCTCTAACCTCCTAAAGCCAGTGGACACACTCTAATGAAAACCCCACATGTCCTGATACCACAACCAGGCTATGCCGCCAGTCATTTGGTGGGAGGAAACACAGCATCGCCCACCCAGCACACAAGCAGCAATCACTACCTGCCACAACAGAAGGGGACACCCACACAGGGGACACCCCTGGGGCACCTGGCTCTGGTGGCCAGAGGAGATTGTGCCGCTGGGTCCCACAGGATGTAACCTACATAAGGCCACCTCTTCAAGACTGAAAGACATATCTACTTAATACATAGAAACAAACACAGAGAATTAGGCAAAATAAGGAGACAGAAGAATAGGCTTCAAACCAGAGAACATGATAAAACTTCAGAAAAGAACTAAATGAAATGGAGATAAGCAATCTACCTGATAGAGTTCAAAGTAATGGTCATAAAGTTGTTCACTGAACTTGAGAGAAAACTGGACAAACACAGTGAGAACTTCAACAAAGAGAGAAAATATAAGAAAGTTACCAATCAGAGAGAAAGAATACAATAAACTGAAATGAAAAAAATACACAAAGGAATCAACCACAGATTAGATGATATAGAAGAACAGATCAGCTATGCCTAAAGGGATTAGAAAAAGAACAAATGAAACCCAAAGTTAAAAGAAGGAAGGAAATAATAAAAAATCAGAGTGGAAGTAAATAAAATAAGAGACTACTAAAAAACAATAAATGAAAAAGATTAAAGAAACCAAGAATTGGTTCTTTGAATAGATTAACAAAATTGATAAACCTTTAGTCAAGAGTCATCAAGAAAACAGAGGGTTCAGATAAATAAAATCAGAAATTAAAGAGAAGTTACAACTGACACTGCAGAAATACAAAGGATCATGAGATAACTACAAATATTATATGCCAACAAATTGAACAATCTAGAATAAATGGATAAATTTCTAAAAACACTATCTTCCAAGGCTGACTCAGGAGGAAATATAAGATTTGAACAGACTGGTTCCTATTAATAAAATTGAATCAATAATAAAAAAAACTCCCAACAAACAAAAGCTCAGGACCAGACAGCATCACAGGTGATTTCTACCAAACATTTAAAGAAGAGTCAATACCTATCCTTCTCAAACTATTCAAAAAATATGAAGAGAAAGGAATATTTCTAAGTATATTTTATGAGGCCAACATTACCCTGATACCAAAATGAGACAGACACTTCAAAGAATTATAGGCCAATATCCCTGATGAACGTAGATGCAAAAATCCTCAAGAAAATATTAGCAAACCTAATTCAAAAATACATTAAGAGGATCATAAATTATGATCAAGTGGGATATTCCAATGATGCAAGGATGGTTTAATATCCACAAATCAATTAATGTGATACACCACATTAACAAAACAAAGGACAAAAATCTTATGATCATTTCAATAAATGCAGAAAAAGCATTTGAAAAATTCAACATCCATTTATGATAAATATTCTCAACAAAGTGTGCATAGAGGGACTATACCTCATGATAATAAAGGCCATATGTGACAAACACACAGCTAACATCATACTCCATGGTGAAAAGCTGAAAGCTTTTCCTCTAAAATCAGGAACAAGGCAAGCATGTCAACTCTTGCCACTTTTATTCAACACAGAATTGGAAGTCCTAGCTACAGCTATCATACAAGAAAATAAATAAAAGGCATCTAATTTGGAAAGGAAGAAGTAAAATTGTCACTATTTGTAGATGACATGATACTACATATAAAAAACAGTAAACATGTAACCAAAAACTATTGTAACTAATAAATGAATTCAGTAAAGTTGCAGAATACAAAATTAATATACAAAAATCTGTTGCATTCCTATACACTAGTAATAAACTATCAGAAAGAGAAATTATGAAAATAATCCTCTTTACAATTGTATCAGAAAGAATAAAATACCTAGGAATAAATTTAACTAAGGAGTGAAAAACCTGTACTCTAAAAGTTATGATACTGATGAAAGAAATTGAAGACACCACAAATAAATGGAAAGATATATCATGTTCATGGATTGGAAGAATTAGTATCATTAAAATTTCCATACTGCCCAAAGCAATTTACAGATTAAATGCAATCCCTATCAAAATACCAATGGGATTTGTCACAGAAGTAGAACTAATAATCCAAAAATTTGTATAAAACCATAGAAGACCCTGAATAGCCAAAGCAATCTTGAGAAAGAAGAACAAAGCTGGAAGTATCACACTTGCTGATACTACAAAGCTATAGTAATCAAAACAGTATGGTACTGGCACAACATAGAAACATAGATCAATGGAACAGAAGAGAGAGCCTAGAAATAAACCCATGCTTATATTGTTTATATGATCAATTAATCTATGACAAAGAAGTCAAGAATATACAATGGGAAAAACATAGTTTCATCAATAAATGGTGTTGGGAAAACTGGACAGGTGCATACAAAAATAAGAAATTGGACCACCTTTTTACACCATATACAATAACAAACTTACAATGGATTAAAGATTTAAATGTGAAACCTGAAACCATAAAACTCCTAGAAGAAAAGCACAGGCAAGAAACTCTTTGATATTGCTCTTAGCAATATTTTTTTGGATCTGTCTCCCTAGGGAAGGTCAACAAAAGAAATAATAAATGGGACTATATTAAACTAAAAAGCTTTTTGCACAGTGAAGGAAACCGTCATCAAAACAAAAAGACTACCTACTGAATGGGAGAAGATAATTTGTAAATGAAATATATCCAATAAGGGGTTAATATGCAAAATATATAAAGAACCCATATAAATCAATATAAAAAAAAAACATCCGATTAAAAAAATAGGCAGAGAACCCGAATAGACATTTTTCCAAAGACGACATACAGAAGGCCAACAGACATTATAACTTTGTATGGTGACAGATGATTACTAGACTTACCATGATCATTTCACAAAGTATTTAAATGTTGTATAACTGAAATAATATAATATTGTATGTCAACTACACTTCATATAAAAATAAAAATAGGGACTTCTGGTAAGATGGCGGAATAGACAGATGCAGTGCCAACTGCCACCCAGAATCACACCAAAATTACAAATAACGTATACAATATTCAACCTCAGAAATCCCCTGAACACTACATGAACAGAACCTCTAAATGAAGAACTTAAAGAAGAAGCCACGTCGAGTCTGGTAGGAGGGGTGAAGACAAGAGAGGGCGAACCCCATGAGGAACACCTCAGCGGTGGGGAGGCTTCTCTGGCTGGAGGAGAGACCCTCTGGCCCCACACTGCGCTCACCAGCCCAGAGTTATGTTGCTGGGAAGAGGAGTTCTACGATAGCTGGCAGTAGAAATTAGTGAGGACTCTCTTTGCTCAACTCGGTGAGGCTGAGGGCGGCTGGAGAACCAGTGGAGCTAGTAAACCGACTTGCTCACTGGTGAGCACTCACCCGGTTCCTGGTGGAGGGAGTGGCTTTGTGAGCGGGGCCCAGGAGCCTGTGGGAAGGACTGAACTGAGGCCCTTTGGTGTGGGAGCTGGAGGTTTTGGGGCCATTGTTCCCCTGGTGTGGAGCTTGCACATGAGTGGTGCACAGGAGGGCACCATTTTTTCAGGGTCGGGCCCTCCCACAGAGGCTCAGGTCTGGGACTGCATCCGGTCTGGTGGGATTGGCGCAGGAGTGAGTGTGTGTGCATGTGCATGCGGCCTTGGATCCCCACCCTCCGCACTACGTGTGCTGCGTAGCCAGGGAAACACCTGGTGGGACTGCTCAGGCTCCAACAGGCTGCTTATTGATCGCGGGAGTGCTCCAATCGCCTTGGGTCCCCGCTCTCTGCATTGCGTGTGCAGAGTTCCCAGGGTGGCAATTGGCTGTCAGGTTGCTCGGCCTGATCTGAGAGCAGCTGATTAAGACAGGCTGAGACTGGGAGTTTTCCTGGGAGTGTTGGGACATGAGCTGTGA